AAATACCTGAGAAACAACTTAAGTGGAGGGGACTTTATTTGACTTTTGTATCAGAGATTCAGTCCTCCTGGTGGGGAATTCGTGAGCAGAGCAGCGAGCTCACATCATAGTACCAGGAAGCAGAAGAGAATGCCTCTTAGTGGTCTGTTTGTAAGGGTGTTTCAGTAAGATTAACTAACAGAGAAGACCTGCCCTGAATGTGGTAGCACAGGGTCCACATGGAATAAAAGGGTGGGGAAAGAAAGCCCACTAGCAGAGCTTCTCTCTCTGCTCCTGGTCACTATGATGTGAGCTATGTGCTCTGCACGAATTCCCCACCATGATGGACTGGAATCTCTGATACCAAAGTCAAAATAAATGTCCCCCTCCACTTAATGTTTTTTCTCAGGGTATTTATCACAGTGACAGAAAGTCTGACTAATATACTACCTTGGTTATATTATTTCTTTCCTTCTACTTTTTATAAACATCCTTTTAAGCAGTACATTTGTTCTTGCAAAGGACAGATGGCACATATTTCAACTTTGCAAATGACGTAGTCTCTTCACACTCCTCCTAACGTTATGCTGCTGCACCACATAAACAGCTACAGACAATGTGTGAGTACATAAAACCTTACTGACAGACTCACATTACCATTGCTGAATTAATTTCATGTCACAAAATAGTATTTTGTTTCTATTTCTTTCAACAATTTAAAAAAATAAACTTCATCTTAGCCTGCAAGCTATACAAAACAGGTGGTGGGCCAGTTTGCCAAGCCCTGCTGTAAACTACAGACTTTATATTTCTTTAACAAAATTTACACTGCCTTGGTTTATCATGTCTTTTTAATGTTTTGACTCTACTCAATGCAAAGTGATTCACATTTCAATCTTCTGAATACGAGATATGTATCTCTACCTTTAATAATGATGTAATGTTTGCAGGTGAGCAGTGCTTGCCATTAGTGTGTGGTGGAATCTCAATCCCCAGGCACCAGTTCAATTCCTGTGCCCCTATACTCAGCTTCAAAGCATCAATTCAAAAAGCACAGCAGTGGACTTGAATGACTTACTGAAAGAGATTAAGAGGTTTTCACATTACATTTCCTATGTACTAAAATCTAGACATTAAGCCTACCTAAGTCTGAATGACAGAAGGTCTGCGCCTTTATGGTTGAAAGTCAAATGTACGAATGAGCTAGGCAAAAAAACACACTGCATCCCACATCTATACCTTGAATTTGTTGGCAATATTCTATAAGGTCATGATTTTCTTCTATAATTCTTAGTTAACAATATGGGCATTCTTTCTCTTTTGTTCTTTATATATTATCTATTTACTCCAGAAAATAAATGTTTTAAACT